AGCAGGGCTGCCAGCAGCAGCCTGGTCCCTGGGCTGGGCCGCGGCCCCGCCATCCTCTTCCTCCTGCGCGACAGCAGCAGTTCACGCGGCGCCCACGCAGCGCCCGGGGTTCCCAGCACAGGCCAGGCCTCCCATTCCCACCGCTCAGGGGGAACCGGGGCCCCACCCTCTTGCCTTTGGGGGCTCTGGGCTCTGAGCTTACTCTGGTGCCAGGTCCCTGCGCTGGGCCCTGGAGGGCAGGGCTGCTTCTCACTTTGCCTTTCAGACCCCAGTGGGTCTGGGTCAGGCTGGGCAGGGACAGGGTCCCCCAACAGGGGCCACCTCTGGAGGGCCTGGCTCTTCCCTCCTGCCCCTCTCCGCCCTGGCCCCCTTCCCTCTGTGGGGGTGGGGCAGCCAGGAGGAGAGGGGTCCCTCCTGATATCTGGGGCCTCGGAGAGGAGGAGGGGCTCCCTGCCTTCAGCTGGGCTCCGTAAGGGCTGCCCCCCTCACAGGTGGGGTTCCCTGCCCCACACCCACCTCGGCCTGCCCCGCAGTTGAGTTTGCGAGGCCTCTGAGTAGTTCACCCTTTGACAAGTTCACCTGGTGGTAGAGCGCACCCCGCCTGCCCCCCAATATACACACACACAGTGTGCCAGCCACCCAGGAGCCTCGTCTGCCTTGGTTCAGTATTAAACCATCTCAACGCATCAGCGGCCCCCCGGGCAGGCACAGTCCGCTGCCTCGGGAAGGGAAAGGGCTGGCCAGAGCCCAGGCCTGCAGAGCTGGGCGGACCTAGCCTGGCCTCATGGCCTCATCCCCGGCAAGTCACTCAGTCGGTTAGACTTAGAGCCTCGTCCTGATACACCAAGGTTGTGGGTTAGAATTCCCGGTCAGGGCACATACAAGAAGCAACCAAAGAATGCATCAGTAAGCGGAACAACAAATCAATCTCTTGAGCTCTCTCCCTTCCTTCCTCTTTCTCTAAAATCAATAAAAAAATTGCCCACTGGCCCCCCACTCCTCGGGTCCTTTCTTGTCCTGGCCTCGTGGGGCAGGGCCGGCTCTGGAGGGCTGAGGCGCGCACAGTACTGGGCAGGCCCGGGAGGGGCAGGCATTGCCTTTCTCCCTCCAAGGCACGCGGCCCCAGGAGGCCCCCAGCAGCTCCAACACCCCCACGGGCAGAGCCGGTCCTGCTCCTTGAGGGAAATGACTTTCCTGCAGCCTTGGGGTGTAGGCACCACACCCACATGCCACACAGTACAGGCTGCAGGCTCGGGGTGCCCTGGGGCACCATTACACATGCAGGTGTGGGTGCTGAAGGGCCCAGCAGGCTCTCACCCTCCCGTGCCCACGGCTGGGGCATGGCGGCAGGAGGCCAGCACTGCAGGTATCTGGCACAGGGACCCAGCGGGGTGCTGCAGTCCCCATCTCCCAGATGAGGAGACAAGGCACAGGTCGCTGGGCTGCCCCTCCCCTCAGCCAGCAGTCGGGGAGCCTGGAGGGGACCCCCATTTGACCTCGGCTCCTCCTCCGAGGCTATAACATGGGGTTAGGGGGCTAGTCATGCACTCGAGCATTTTGTTTGACTCAACTTGTGTCCATAAAGTTTTAAAAGTAGTTGTCAACATGAAAAACAATGAGGTTGCACATAAAAGTTAGGGTGGTGGGCTTATCAGAGGGTGTGGCTATGGCGGGCTGGGCGGGGCCCTCTCTAGGCCCCCCTCGACCCCCCATGTACCAGCCAGGTCCTGAGAATATGGGACTGCCACCCCGACGGGTGTCACCCTGCACACACCCAGACCGTCCTCAGAGAGGACATGTGCATGGACACACGCCGTGACCCAAAGGGGCCGAGGCTCAGAGCTCCCCCACACCACCCTCCTCCCACCCATGGGACCACTCAGCACATGAGCACTGCCCACCACAGCGCTGCCCCTCCCACGTTCCCATTTCCTGGCCCCTCCGTGGAAATCGGGGTCAAGGAGACAGGCACCCCTTTCCTGCTGCCCCAAATGCCTCCCTCTCCCCTCCGCCCCCAGGAGGGAGGCCTCAGCCCTCACTCCCAGCTCTGTTGGAGGCAGCAAAACGGTGCCACTGGTGCCCAGGCCTTGGGCTCAGGGTGTGGCAAAGCCACAAGTAGGAGTAGGAGCCGAGCCACCGCCCTAAGAAGCCACCTAGAGCCACAACCAGAGGGCCACCCCCAGGTGGGCCGAGCAGGTGGGCCAAGCAGGTGGGCCGGGGCCGGCACCGGAGGCGGCCACAGTGCTGGGCACCACCCCAGGGCTGCTGCCGGAGGTCTGGAAGCTCCTGGAGGAAGGCGGGCGTGTGCTTGGCCAAGAGAGGAGTCAGGAACTCCCCAGGCCCCAGCGGGACGGTGTCCCCACACAGGCCCTGCCCTGCCCAGCAGCGAGGGCCTTGGCCTCTGCTGGCTGTTCCTTCCACCTTCTCTGCAAACCCTGTTGGAGCCCAGCGGGAGGCCTGCGGGGCTCTGCCCGTGTCTCCTGCACACCCACCCGACACCAGGGCCCTCCCCTGCCCCTTCCTCTAGTCAGAGGTCTGATGGCCAAGTGCGTCCTCCAGCCCTCCCCCGCCCCCCGTGCTTCTGCCCCCAGGGCAACCTGGCGGGCTGGGCACTTGCCCTGTGCAGCATGGGCAGAGGGGGCCAGCGCCGGCCAGACTCCAGGAAGGGGAAGAACTGGGAAACAAAAGCCAGCCAGCATTCCCAACCCACTCCCCTGCTCCGGCCCAGGCTTGGGGGTACCCCCTTCTCCCGTCCAGGTCTCAGAACCGGCAGCGCCCTGTCGGCCTGGGAACCCGGAGGGGCGGGCGCGGTGCC